ATGGGTGAACTACTCTGGACATGGATCATTAGTTGTTTTTTTTTTTTAAAGAAAACATATTCGGTGTGTTCCCATCCAATGCTGATTTCAACCAGGTTAAAACCTGGACGGAGGCCAGTGTAACATCTGCTAATCTAACTTGAATTTGTTGCACGTTTGTCTCTGTGTGTGCGTACCGATGGGCATAACAGAGTTGGAAGGGTTCTTGGAGGTCTTCTAGTCCAACCCCGTCGAGCAGGAGGCCCTATTTCATTTCAGATGAACGATGGTTCAGTCTCTTCTTAACAATCTCTACGTAGTCAGAGTGTAACACCAAACATCTTGTAGGAATCCACAAAGGCAGTTCATTCACTAACCAGGAAGTGTTGTGTGAATGCAGCTAAGCGGTTACTGGGGAGGGGAAGGAAGATTGAAGAAGAATGTAAGTTTGTTCTGCGGCTTTTCCTTCCCAGGGGGTTTTATGTCGCAAGGGCAGGGCCAAACTGATGAGTGCCTCTCCTCCAAAGTTGCCAAGTTGTGGGTCTGTGTGCGCACATTGCCAAATATATCTTTTTTAAAAAAGCAGAGCTCTTCTCTCTCTTCCTCTCTCTCCACCCCCTCCAAGAATTGATATCTTTCTTGTTGGAGTTTTGCGAGCAAAATTAACTTCCAGCCATGGCCGCTAGGGAGAAACAAGCAAGTTTTGATCTGCAAATGAAAGAACAGCCTCTGGGCATGGGCAGAAGGCCCTCTTGTTGAATTGGCTGCTGGGATATTAATGGGAGCGCCTCTCCCCTCCTGGGCCTATCCTGAATTTCCACACGAGGGGGCCAATTTATTTGAAAGATCCTCTTAAAACTTAAAAGCAACTCCAGCAGGGGGCTGGCAAACCTAATTGGCTCTGAAATTAATCCATGTTCTAGCCCGGCGTTTCTCAACTTTGGCCACTGGAACAGGGGTGGACATCAACCCCCCCCCCCAGAATTCCCCAGACAGACTGAAGAATTCTGGGAGTTGAAGTCCACCCCTCTTGCAAAGGCCAAGGTTGAAAAAATACTGTTCTAGGCTCACAAAATGCAACGAATGGGTATCGAGGTACGAACAGAACACCTCTGAGATGGAGGCACAAGGGCAGTGGAGCTCCCTTCGATCAGCACAGTTTATCTTCCATGGAGCTTGGGTGGGTATGAGCTGCTTCACGATAAATCCACGTTAGTCGATAGCATATCAAGATGATACAGACTTTCGACTGATCCAATTATGAAGAATTCCCAGAGGGATTCGGCCTCTTGCCAAATAATTCATAGCATCTCCATAAAAAATGAGAAAGTTGTTTCCTAAGGGGTGGTGGGAGGTTTGGCTGATGTTATCTTTTTGAAAAGTGAAAAAGTTACCTTAAACATAAGCACCCATTCTCCATCTATTATTTAAATTTGCAAAACTGCACCGCTGAGAATTAGCTACTTGCTAGCCATTCGTGTCTTCGATAGTTAGTTGGAGCAGCCAAAACGTCCGGAGGGGAATTCTTCCGCTGGTTAATTAGTCAATCTCGTTTGGGGGGGCAACCCGCTTGCCTCAAATATTTTCCTGTTCTTTCTTCGGGGCTTCCTGTTGGGAACAAAGAAGGTTCTTTTCGCGAATTGCACGTCGTTGCGATATTCAGGAGCAAAACGGGCCAGTTTAAAAATGCAATATTATTTTTTTTTCCCTTCTGCAGTCATCCAGGTACACTGTGGGTCCCACCGAAACCGAGCGCTGCATTGAGTCGCTGCTGGCCGTCTTCCAGCGCTACGCTGGGAAGGAAGGAGACAGCAAGACTCTCTCCAAGAAGGAATTCAGAACATTCATGGACACAGAGCTGGCCTCTTTCACCAAGGTGCAATTTACGGTTTATGTATCTCTTCGATATACCTGGGGGACCTGCTTGGTGGGCTATGGGCTCCCCCTGGTGGTGAGATGTAGAATTGCAGACTAGGATAGACACCGATGCCCAGTTCGAGTGTCAACGGTTATCGGAACAAGGCAAAGGATGGTTCAATGAACAATTTCAGAGCAAACGGAAGAGCTATTGGGGGTGCTGTTTCCAGTCCGACGTGTTACCAGGATCTGTCCCATGAAAAAGGCTGAGATAACAGAATAACAGAGCTGGAAGGAACCTCGGGAGGTCTTCTAGTCTAACCCTCTGCCAGGCAGGAAAACTTATACCGTTTCAGACAGACGGTTATCCAATCTCTTCTTAAAAACTTCTAGGGTTGGAGCATTCACAACTTCTGGAGGCAAGGAGTTCCACTGGTTAATTATTTTGACTGCTAAGAGATTTCTCCTTAGTTCCTGGTTGCTTCTCTCCTGGATTAGTTTCCATCCGTTGTTTCTCTTCTTGCCTTTTGGTGCTTTGGAGAATAATTTGACCCTCCCCTCTTCTTCTTTGGGGCAGCCCCTCAAATACTGGAAGCCTGCTATCATGTCACCCCTAATTCTTCTTTTCTCCAAACCCAAATCCTGCAGTCGTTCTTCATGTGTTTTAGTCTCCGGGCCTTTAATCCTCCTAGTTGCTCCTCTCTGCACTTCTTCCAAAGTCTCTTTTTTTTTGTAAGATGGGGACCAAAACTGGATGCAGTATTGCAGGTCTTACTAAGATCTTCTGAGATTTTTGTCCACCTAGCCCTCAAGAAATCCATTTGGGAGGTCCAAAAAGGCTCTCGTGTGACCTTTATTTTTATTTTTTTTAATCCTTTGCAGAACCAGAAAGATCCAGGCGTCGTTGACCGTATGATGAAAAAGCTGGACATCAACTCCGATGGGCAGCTGGACTTTGCCGAGTTCTTGAACCTCATCGGAGGCCTGGCGGTGGCCGTCCATGAGATGGCATCCGCGCCCGTCGGCGGAGCCCCTAGAAGACTGTGAAGACATCCGGGCAATTTCAAACCTTTGTTATCCAAAGCATTCCAAAATCGGGGATGTGCAACATCCTTTATTCTTCGTTGTTGTTGTTTTCCTTGTTCAAATTTTGAATAAAATTGAGAATTAAAAGCAGATTTCTTGTTTGCCGCGTACGAAGGAACAGAGAGCTGTGTTTCTCATAGGAGGGTCGTGTATTGGCAGGATAGGGACAGTTAGCCTTGGTTGAAAAGGAATCATTCGGGACATCTGAACCCCGGCTCCAAGACGCTTTGAGTTTTAAAAATAAAGATGCTAGTCCTCTGTGTTTGGGGAAAGAACAGGGCAACACATCGGCTAGGACAAGGTGTGAATAGGTGCGGAGGCCTTTAAGATGTCTAACCGGAGTGGATTTTATCTGATTTACCGTTTCCTCGAAAACACAGCCTATCCTGAATGTAAATCCTAGCTTGATTTTTACACATGCGTCCAATAGAAGCCCTATCCCCAAAATAAGCCCTAATTAAGATCCCGCCCATTCCGGAAGTTGAACCACTAGAGGGCAGTACACATATATGAAATATGTATAATTTATGTCCTCCAAAGTGCATTTTGAACTTGGGCAAAACACACCCTGATACATAACTGGACTTGCAGCATTCTCTGTACAAATAATTCCGTTTCAGCTATTTGTCACCAGCGGTGAATAATGGCCGTGTCGCCAAGAGTTTGCCATTTACAAAAATCAGGTGCTTTGTACTTCCCCCTCCTCCTTCTCCCCCTCCTCCTCTTCCTCCTCCTTCCCCCCTCACCCTGCCCTTTCTTCTCCTCTACCTCCACCCCCTCTTCCTCTCCCTTTTCCTCCCCTGTCCTCTTCCTCTTCCTCCTCCTCCTCCCAGTCTGCACCAACCTGCCACAGGTTGAAATCAAATGAAACCTATTTAAAACTGTATCTCTCCACCTCGGCCACTTGAAGATGGGCGGACTTCAACTCCGGGCTGGGGAATCCTGGTCTAGGACTCATCTGTGTTTATACAACCCGCCCAACTAGGTGGAAAAAGTGTTGAATGTTTTTGCTCAGGGTGGGGACTCTGCTCCCGATTGTAAACCATTGTGATCATCGGTGAGTGTGTGACATTCCTGAGTTTCGATTACAATTTTTCATTTTTATTTTGCTTTTTTGGTTTGCTTCCTTTCCGACACCCCATTCGTGCTGGAAAGAAATATTCAACCCTTTTTCCCCACTGCCTCTTCCTGTCTCTTGGATTTTTTTCTCATCCTTCTGGGAGCAAAGATGTGTTTCGCCCAGAAAGTTCCCACAGCGTTACAGTCCTCTCAGGGGGAAAAAAAGGGCTATACCAGGTGAGACTGCACCTAATTTAGGTTCGTGGATTGACAGGTGCAAGGAGTTTATTCAAGATCCACCCAGGAAAAGAAAATCCACAAATATTTGCCTTCCAAGACAACGTAGATTTAAGGCCCCTGCTGCCCGATGCAAAATCTCCATTGCACAACTCAATCTTGGCACATCGCACAAATTAGTCAAGCTGTTTGCATCATGCTTCTCTCTGAATGACACAACCACCTCGGATTGCACACACACATACACACATTTAAAAAAAACCTAATCTTGAGATGGGTTTCTGCCTTAGTTTTTCCTTTCCTCCTCCCTCCTCTTGTGGTCTTCCTCTACTGTTGTGCCCCAAATATTGTCCCCTGCTCCGGCGATCCTATTTGACCATAAATGCTTTCATAAAGGAACAGAGAGTTGGTGGCACACAGCGCAAACTTTTGGGGGGGTGGAGGGAACATGGAAATTGGGAAATCAGAAGAAGATTTTTTTTCCCCCTCTGGACGAAAGAATTGCGAGAAACAATGCCTGTTAAAAAATGACCTCTGGGCTTCATCGGATAGTTTCTAAGGGAAGGAAAACAGCAAAGATAACAGCCCTGCGGTGGAAAAATGTGGATGCTTGCAAACCGGGCCTGGCAAAGGCGTGGCAGCCCAGGACAGCTAGCCTGGAACAAACCTCGGTGTATTTATGGAAGAATTAAGTGATTCATGAATCGAGATTGAAATGTGGAAATGGCCAGATCTCAATGTTTTGAGTTGCTAAGTGAATCGGAGTGATTTTATTTTACGATCGAATTTATCTGACTCGGGGCGGCAAATGAAACCAACCGATGTCCCATAAAACTAAAAGGGAGAAACGCTTTTGGGATGATTGTAATATTAAGAAGTGGGGATCGGGAACCAGAAACAGGAGAGAAGGATGGATTTTCCTACATTCAGGCAACACAAAGTTAGTAGGCATACCTTGCTCAATAGAATCGAATCGGAAGGGAATTTGGAGGTGTTTTAGACCAACCTAGGATGACCCTATCTCATTCTGAAAACAGTTTTATTAATTTTAACAACAAACAAAAACACATAAAACATAAAAACATCATCCTTTCCTTCATGAGTTTACGAACAGTGTGTCGGTTGGTTTACCACTTTTTTTTGTGCATCCATTTCATAGTCTCCATTGTAGTTACATTACATAATAGCTCATATTATCAATCAACAATTATATAGCCTGATATCATTATTAAACAATCATTTGACTATAATTTTATTAATTCATGCTTTAATGAGATAACTATAGTTTACTTAATTTATTTTATAGCAAATCATAAAGTCATACCAAGTCTATCTTAATAAAATTTTATAAAGATAGTATCAAAGAAAAAAAAGAAATATGTATTCATTATTTCCTAGGGTTCTAAATATTCTATTATTATATTTTATTATCTAGCCATTGATAGAAAAGATCCCAAACTTCATAGAATTGTTTGTCTTCTTGTTCTCTAATTTCAAATGAGTGAATGAGACCCTATCTCATTCTGGACAAAGGGCTTTTCCAGTCGCTTCTTAAAAACCTCCAGTCACCCACAAGTTCTGAAGGCGAGTTGTTGTGTGGTGTGGGTTTTTTTTCTACTGAGATGGCATATTTTCCTAACCCTGCAAAAATACATCCTCCCTCCTTTAAATGTCTGAACGGTGTGTGTGTGTGTGTGTGTGTGTGTGTGTGTGTGTGTGTGTGTGCAAGCAACAATAGGGAGGAAGCCGCCAAGAATAACACGTGAGTTTGCATCTAGTGGATGGAATTCAGGAATGTGGAGGAGGAAAAACAGGTGGGCAGGGCAGGAAAAGTTAGGGAAAAACACTCCAAGAATGCAGAATAATGGTACCTCTTGATGGGGTAGAGAAGACATGTTTGACCAACTCCTCTCTTTTCCCTTTATGTCAGTTCCCTTAATTTTATTTTTATAGATAGATGGTAGATAGATGATAAGATAGATAGATAGATAGATAGATAGATAGATAGATAGATAGATAGACAGACAGATAGACAGATAGATAGATATAGATGGAGAGATAGACAGATGAGAGATAGATAGATATAGATGGAGAGATAGACAGATAGATAGATAGACAGACAGACAGACAGACAGACAGGCTGATAGAAACAGATTCAATATATAGATAGAAGTATAGATGATGGATGGACAGATAGATAGATAGATAGATAGACAGACAGATAGACAGACAGACAGACAGACAGACAGACAGGCTGATAGATATAGAAACAGATTCAATATATAGATAGAAGTATAGATGATGGATGGGCAGATACATAGATAGACAGACAGACAGACAGACAGACAGACCCCAGTTAAGTTCACTCTGTCTGTTTTGGGGCTTTCTAAATTGTAGGATTTCATTTAATTATTTTTTATAGGATTGTTCCCTAAGAGGTAACCCGGTTTCTAGACATTTGTGGCCTGATTGTTGAACAAGATCTACATTCGAATATTTTTTACAAGATGTACACTCATTTAAAAAATTTACATTATAAATTAGTTTGAATCATTTGCAACTAAAGACTCGGTAGCCCACCCAAGCCCAAGCCCCTTGGGCCAGGAAAGCGCGTCTACTTGAAGGGTCCGACGCCCAGTTAGACGCGGCTCTGACGCATCGCCAAGACATCGGTTTCTGCCGCGCGTCTGGCAGATGCGAGTCCGGCTTCTCCGCCCCCACCCCCGGCCCGGCCCAGTCTAGCCCAGCCCAGCCCAGCGAGAGTTGCAGAGGCGGTGGCCGGCCAGCCTCACTTCTGCCTCTGCCAGCCGTCGCTCCAGGCTGCTCTCTCTCCCCGGGTGAGTCTCTCTCTCTCTCTCTCCCCGCCGCGCGTAACGGGGCGCGCGTAAAAGCCAGCCGCGCGTAAAAGCGGGGCGCGCGGCTGTACCCGGAGGACCCCCTCTCTCCTCCCCCCCCAAAAGAATTGGCTGCCCTCCTCCGGGTCCTGAAACTGCAGGGTGGGTGGTAGTGGCGGGGGGGTGTTTTCACCCACCCACCCACCCCCGGTGGGGTGGAGAGGGAAGAGGCATGGAGACAGAAAGGGGGTCCCTGCCATCTCTGCGTCTGTTGGCGGGGACTTTGGGCTGGTTTTGGGGGGGGGGGAGAAGTGGGGAGCTGAGCCCGGGGCTCGGGAAAAGCCGCATTTCTGGCTCAGGGTGTGGTCCCACCCCTGGGTGGGGGGGTCACTGCGTACGTGTGTGCCCGGCTGTCCTGATGAAAACACCGCCCGGGGTGGGGAAGCTTTGTGCCCAACTGGTGCCAACAGATTTGGGGTGGTCTCTCTCCATTTTTTGGGAGAGGCGCTTTACTTTGGGGGGGGGGGGAGGCTGGATGGGGGGGGGGGAGGGGGAGGGGGCCCCCCCGTACTGGGGAAACCGGGAATGCCCCCCCCCCTCCCCCCCCCCTCCCGCCCCGCCCTGCCCGCCATGTATGGGCCAACAGCCGGAGGCGAAAATCTGCAGAAAAATTCTTTTATCTACTAGCGAGGCGTTAAGGTCGGAAATTTGGGCATCTGTCTCTGAAAAAGTTTAAAAGTTTTTCGCCCTCTTCGGGAAGGGTTAGGTGGGGGGGGGGGAGCCGTCTCCCTGAGCTGCAAAAGGAGACGTGCAGTAGACAAGGGGCTAGTCCTCAGCGTTTCTAAATTTTTAAGTTGCAAAAGACATAAATGCCTTTGCCTTTTGCGGGGAGGGGAGGAATGGTCAGATTTGGATGTGGCGGAGGGGAGCTGAAAAAAACTTGCTTTTTTCTTCCCAAACTT